CAGGTAATTTTCTTTGAACTCTGCAATAAACCAGGTAAAATTCCAGTTTCTATTGCTCCCAACGTATGTCATGAATAATTGAATAGCTCCCCTTCCCTGCACTCAACTTCTGTAATTCTTTTTTTTTTTTGTCATTTTTAATGTATGTTTTATAAATATTTAGTTGAGAAAAACTTAAATAAAGTAACATAGACAGTGATGACTAGTCATGTGGTGACTAGTTATGTGGATTTCTGAACCATGGAAATATGTCTTTGTTGAACGCCATACATATTTCAGTTGTGCTGTTCTTTGAATATTTTGTCAATCTTTATAATGCAGCAACCAGGAGGAACAGACAAAAAAAAAGAATTTCTGGCACAACGAGCAGCTTGAAGAGATGCTGTAGAAGTTTTCAGTCCATGTACACATAACACATCTTTATCAAGAAGGTCAATGGAGTTCATCAGTTCAAGTCTTTTCAGAAGGATTAGTATTGATAAAAATAAGCCACATATCTGCTTAGTGAATTCTAAGATAAAATCACACTATTTTTTAAGTTTAATGAAAAAGTAGATAACTAGATCAACAAACTATTTTTGTGACCAAGTTAAAAGAAACACAAATGCAGACACCAACTTAGCAAATGGAAAACGAAAATCTTAATAAAGTAGATACACAAACCAGTCGTAGCAGAAATAATACTAAATGAGAACTCTGATTAGTCTGTTACAACAAAGCAAAAATTGAAATATTGGGATCTTCTTCTTCATCAGAAATAATGCATCTCCAACTTCCTTCAGTTATCAAGCAACTGAAACATCTGGATCTTCTTCTTCATCAAGTATCGTCGGACATGAAACTCTATCAATGCTTGAACACGAACCTAAAAAAAAGTATAATAGTATAAGAGAGTGAATACTATTATTAACATAGTAAATCGTAAAAAAGTTACTTACCATTTATCTCGTTCCATAACCAAGTGCGAGCATACATCAATGCCTCCAAAGTAGTAGGATGAAGTCTACTACGATGCGGGCTAATCAATCTCCCACTAGTGCTAAAGGCCGATTCTGAAGCAACGGTAGAGATAGGAATGGCTAAGAGGTCACGAGCTATCTTTTGCAAAGTAGGAAATTTTAATATGTTTGTCTTCCACCAGCTTAAACTGTCAAATGATGGCGTACGAGATAGCACACCTTCTTCTAAATATGACTCCAACTCCGATCTTGGGTCCACATTCGCGCTACTCGAAGCGACAAATCTATCGAAACTAGACAGTCGATCACCCTCAACAACACCAGCAACTTCATTAGAACTAGATGCTTGAAATGACTCATGTGAAGCAACCACTCTGCTCGTATACTCTTGAAAGAGATTAAAACAATGGTTTCGAACTTCTTGAATTTTATGTAAAGTTTCTTCACCATAAATTTGTGCAAGATAGAACTCAACCAACTTCATCTTAAATCTCGGATCAAAGATAGTAGCTACCCCCATCAAAATATGCATATCATCCCAATATTTTTTAAATTTCAACAACATTTATGATGCCATAGAGCTAATCAAAGGATTTAAACTTTTCACCCAAGCTTCCAATTCTAGCTTAATATCACAAACTTTTGAAAAGTATTGAGTTGAAGTTGGATATTGACTCCCTGAGAATTGTTCAGTGATACGGTGAAACAGCTGCAACTTTTCACAAACTTCATGTGCTGCACTCCATTGCCCTTCGGTTGGAAAACAACGATAATTGGTGTCATTTAAACTCAACTTTGTGAACACCTCTTTGTAATCTAGGGCTGTTCTCAACATAAGATATGTTGAGTTCCAACGAGTAGGGCAATCATACTCCAACTTTTTAGTACAGGAAATATGTAGCAACCGTGCAGCTTCTTCGAACCTTTCAATTCTGCCTGAAGATGCTATCCAATATAAGACACTGTTACGCACATTACTAATACCATCTTCTATCACCTTTAGTCCTTCTTGCACAATCAAATTTAAGATGTGTGCGGCACAACGCACATGCAACATTCGACCCATCAACAATAAATCCCTCTTACAAAGTTTCTCATCTAAAAGACGCATCATAAGATTGCCCGTAGTGTACTACTCTACTAATCGAGCTCATTCAGTCTAGGATCATGTAGGACTTTATTTGGTTGTAATGTAAGCTACGGGACGGGTAGGATACATTTAGATATAAGAGTGACTACACCTCCCTAAGCACTTTAATACATATACTTTAACATTTAAAACTCGCACTTATGTCAAACCATAACTCGACATTCGCATCAATATATATTAACTCCATACTTCTTTAAGTACAATTACATCAAGGAATATTTTTCGCAACAATACAACTATTTCTTTCTTTCTTTTTCAATTCAAGTGGCTCTTACGTGTTTAAAACAGTGCACTTTTCTCCTTATTTCATTAGTTCCACTCAAAAGCCAAACCAACCACCCCACACTTTAACTTTTATAAAATTCATAATAATTCAAGTGCTCATGGGAGAAGAAACGGTTTAAATAGATGGTTAATTCAAAAAAATGGGTAAGGCTTGTAATGTGGTTGCCAGAGAAACAGGATTACAGGCTCAAAGGGGTTAACTGCGATACATAATAGTTAGGCAGGTAAAATATATATATGGCTCAACAAAAAAAATGTCTATATCACTTCCAAGACTGAACAAAACAACTATTTCGCTTTGCAAACACACGGGGCAAGTTCTAGACATCAAATGCAATGCACAGAATACAACAAAACCTCACACACACATGACACATAACTCACTTAGGATTGGATTCATCAAGACACTCTAGTCAAAGCAGTTAAGTAAATTTAAGAACATACAATTTAAGTCACTTCTTCAAGAGTCAAAAACTGAGCCTAAGCCTCTCAGCCAAAGTACTCACTATTCTCAAGGCATAACAAAGTCAAGAGATATTGCTTCAATTCAAAACACAATACAATGGCTCTTACTCCCAAAAAAAACTAACTACACCCGGTTCAAACAAAACTCTTGGAAAGAACCGTGACACAAAGAAAAACCAAAGGAGGTTGCTACACTACCTATAAAGAAAATCTTTTTATCATTTTTTTAGACTTAAATCCCTCAAGAAAACTGTCTAATCGATCTATCGTCGGAAAAGTCCAATTTTTTTGTAATTTGTTTTTAAAAAAATTATTCAATTAACCTAACACAGCTAAAATAACATAGAAAGTCACCCAGACAATCTCCTCACCCACACTTAAATATGTGCATTGTCCCTAATGCACACCATAACTAATAAGAGGGTAAGAAAACTCTCTGGTAGGCCAAAGGCCGAAGTACTAGCAGCTCATGGGGTACTCAGACTTCTCCTAGGCTTGGTCCTTCGTGCGAGTACCTCACACTTAGTTCCAACCATATGGTTTGCTGGTGCCTCTTTCCAATAACCTTGTTTTCCATGATCCTAAAAACTCAAAAATCGACACAACAAAAATAATACAATAAAAAAATAAAAATAAAATAAAACAAAGCAATAAAGTTGGGTTGCCTCCCAACAAGCGCTTGATTTAACGTCGCGTCATGATGCGAATCATTTTTTGCCTCCACTTCGAACTTATAAATTGGACCCCAAGTTTTGATTTTGCTCTGCGATCATGCTTCTGGGGTGGTAGAACGAATCTAACTGGCCCAATAAAACAATATAGTATTCTGCACTTCTTGGCCTTTAGATGAGATGTGTATTCATGACTTTCTAGCAAGAAGAATTCTAGAATGTAGGCATCTTGTTCCTTACTTCTTGACTCCTCAAATGGCTTGGACGACTCTATTTCCATATCCAAACACAATGTGAAAAAATGCTTGGAGTGTGGACCAATGCGCTCAACTACATGAACATTGGGACTGTCTACATTCTCAACACTAATGACAATAGAGTCAACTAAATATGTATCCTCAATATCCTTAGTTGACTCTAGTATCTCTTCTACAACATCGGCATCCTCAAAATCTAGTTCAATTGATTGTTGGTATTCTACTATGGTCTTCTCCACTAGCACCTCAATTTCTGTATCTAATTTATGCTCTTTTTGGATACTATTAACAATATTGGCTTATTGAGCATTAAAATTTTAAACCAGTTGACTCACGTGACTTTCAAGTTGAGAATAATTTCCTCTTGCCTTTCTATCTGTAGTTTTAATTTACTATGTTATTCCAAAAGACACTTTAACATATCTTCGATCTTCTTTAGGTCAGCTTCCCTGGGTTTTTTTTCCTATTAACTTCACTAGAAAAAGAAGAACCATCAAAGTAAAGGATTGGGGGAAGATAAGAAATATAAGCACAACCATGAAAGTGACTATTTTGATCACCACATATATCACACACATTCCACACATATGATTGAGTTGGTGCACAAAACTCGCTCTCGGAAATATTTTGATAATTTTGCCCTGGGTGGTTTCCTTCACAATATGCATAAGGAGGATTAAAAGTAGAATTACCAACATCAAAACTCTCATAATTCCAAGATGCCATGTTTCTCAAATTAACAAGTAAAAAAAAAACCAAAATAAAAATCAAATACAAAAAATAAAAATAAAAGTTCAAACTTGAAACCTAGTAATATGTACACTTACAGCTACACCGTTAGTTCCCCAGCAACGGCACCAAAATTTGATCACGCCCAACAATGCCTTATAAAAAGGACTAAGAAGTCGTTGCAAATATAATCCGGTTTACAAGTCCGGAGTTGAATCCCACAGAGAACTAAGGTTTAGATACAATTGTTCACTATCACCAAGAAGACAAGCTTGAACAATTTCTAACTTATAGATATTAAAATTCATGTGTTTAACTAATTAACTAATAAATTAAAATATTAAATTAACAACTAAAGATACTACGGGTTGGAGAAAAGATTAAGGAGGTCTAGAGTGATGATTTCCCCAATTGTCGGAATTTTTTCCGCTACATTTTATATAAATTTGCCTAAGTATTCTCTACTGATCATGAGTGCTCTAACTGTCGTAAATCTCTCCCTAGTAATTAACACAATTTACTAGATATATTCTCCCGAATTACGCTAGCTAGCATTAAGTACGGCTCACTCTGATCACACCCAAGGTTTCGTTATCCCTAATCCCACCTTTAAAACCCTTCGTACTGATCCCTCATATGCGTTAGGAGTGATGTTGTTCAATAACTACCTAAATATGAACTCTGTCCCGAGTAATATACACTAAATAGGCACAGTTGATTGGGAGCTTTTCAACCAACCACAATAATAACGTAGTTGAACAAATAGAGAAAATACTACGACAAAACTATATTAACGTAATAGAAAAATCATCTTCCAATAGGTTCCATCAAAACCTTGGATAACAAATTAGCTATTCATAATAATATGAATAACTACAATACTAGAATTCATAACCAATAATGGAAATAGGAAGAAGGAAGTGAAAAACTCGTAGAAGAATTCTTTGCCTTGCTCCTAGTGTGTTCTTGCCTCCTTAGGTCGAATCTCGATCTCTACGGCAGCTCCGTGCTCTCCCTAGGTCTAAAGTGTGTTAAAAGTCTATCCTTCTCGCTATGTTTTCTATCCCCGGTCTCTTTAGTCTCCTTAGGTCTAAATTATGTCAAAAGTCCTCAAAATACCATTTTTTCATGTATATATACCAAGTAGGGTTGGGCCCAAATAATTATACCTTCTCCTACGTGAAAAAATACACTTTTCCCAGAGAGGACGTGAGCGACCGCGGTTGGACCGCGCATATCCACTTTGATTCTGCCTGACGAGCGCGGCCTGAGCGTGGCCATGAACTTGACGTTCACTTTTCACCATGTTCTGTTAGGAATTTAGAAAAACGTTAAACATGAAAGTTGTAGCCCATATCGTTATCTTTCTAACTATATATTGTGGGGCTCAAATGCAGTTCTGAGCAAAAAGTTATGTATATTTTACTAGACAGTGCGTAATATGCCTACTCGATTCTTCGTTTATTCTTAATTATCATCCGTTGATCTCCAAACACGATCCTGGCTTAATTCCTTGGGATTTTACTCAGACATTAAAGCTTCAAATCACTTGAATTCATTCCATAACATCTACATAGCTCGAAATAACTCCTACAAGGCATAAAACACACAATTAGTGCAAAACACTAGCGATTAAAGCTCAAACTCAATTAAAGCGCAGTAAATTAGAATGTAATAAGTGACTAAAATACGTAATTATAGCCTATCATCAGTTAGTATTGAGGTGATGCACATGCCAAGTAACGGGCATGCGGGCGTGTACCGTGAGAATCGGGACCTGGTTCATTTCATGGCACCGTTTAGTGACTCTTTCTTGTTAATATCCGTGTTTCCATTATGTGATAAAGTAAATGAGCTGTAAAACATGTTAGATATAATGTTAGGGCTTTACGATGATACTGTTGGGACTCCTAGTGGTCATTTTTTGCTGTCGTCTCACTATTCATTGATATTCTGTACTTAGTCATATTCATGCATTTCATATCATGTTTCAGTCTCAGTTGTTATTAATTGACACATCATATTATTGTTCCGGG